GTATGGAGCCTACTGTCCTGAGATTATAGAAAACCAGAGATATCATCGAACTACAAACACTCATCAAAATACTATCCTGAAATTATAGAAAACCAGAGATATCATCGAACTATAAACACTCATCAAAACACTACAAATTTATAGGAAATCAATAGTAGAAAAAATTGGAATATTTCAAATGGGACATTCAATACCAGCAGTATTTCTTCAGAAAGATAGAAAGAAAGAAATAAAGAAAGAAAGAAAGAAAGAAAGGAAGGAAGGAAGGAAGGAAGGAAGAGGAAGGAAGGAAGGAAGGAAGGAAGGAAGGAAGGAAGGACAGACCGACCCTGTCTGGAAACAAACAAAAGAGAAAAGAACAAAAACAATGAAAGTAAGCTTCAAAGTCATTCAAGTGGTAGCCATGCAAAAAGAATAATTTATGATGCTGAGTTAATTAATCTTAAATCACACTATATTTAATCAGGCCACATAGAATTAAACTAGGAATCAGTAATAAAGACTAATAATAGAAATAAAACAAACAAAAAAAAAAAAACAAAAACAAAAAAAAGGCCGGGCGGTGGTGGCGCACGCCTTTAATCCCAGCACTTGGGAGGCAGAGGCAGGCGGATTTCTGAGTTCAAGAGTTCGAGGCTAGCCTGGTCTACAGAGTGAGTTCCAGGACAGCCAGGGCTACACAGAGAAACCCTGTCTCGAAAAAACAAACAAAAAAAAAAAAAAACAGAAATAAAATCCCTGAATACTTGAAGATTAATTAGTATACCTGTAAGTAACACAAAAGTCAAAGAGAAAGTCTGAAGAAAAACAAAGCACTATTTTGATCCAAGTGAAAATGAAAACACAAGCCATCTGTGGCGACAAATGCATGTGATATCACAAGTGGACAGAAAAGACAGAAGTCAGCCAATCCCAGAACAGCTTGAGAACCCTGACAGAGGGTCAACCAGTAAGTCAGTCTCTGAAGCCACCTACATGCCATTCAGTTTGCAGAACCTGTAAGCTCCAAAGTTCCAGCAGTCCATCCACACTGCATCCCTCCAGGAGACTTAGGAAGTCTTTTGTTTTTTTAATTTTTTATTTTATTTATTTAATGTATATGAGCACACTGTAGTTATCTTCAGACACAACAGAAGAGGGCATCAAATCTCATTACAGATGGTTGTGAGCCACCATGTGGTTGCTGGGAATTGAACTCAGGACCTCTGGAAGAGCAGTCAGTGCTCTTAACCACTGAGCCATCTCTCCAGCCTGACTTAGGAAGTCTTAAAAATAACAAGAGAGGGTTGGGAGTGCTGGTGTAGGCCTTGGATCTCGACACTTAAGAGATGCAGGCAGGTGGAGTTGGAGGCCTGATCTACATAGAAATTTCCACATCACTCGGGGCTATATAGAAAGACCTTGTCCCCAAAACAAAAACAAAAAACATAAAAAACAAAAAGCAACAAGAGAAAGGGGAGAGGGAAGACAGGAGCAAGACAAAATTGGCTTGGTTTTACACTACTTTGAGGTTTTCCATTGTTAAAAATGTTTTTATTACTTATGTGTACACACATGTGCACATTCGTACATCTCAGCTCACATGCAGAAGTGAACGTTTTTCAAAGGTCCGTTCTCGGGCCACCTGACTTGCACAAGCAGCTTTACCCTCTGAACCATCTTGCTAGTCCCCAAATGATCTTAATAACAAACCCACTCTCTCAGTAACTAACCTATTCCCATGAAAACAACCTAAGTTCCACCTCCAGTACTCACATGGTAGGAGAGAACCAACTCTTACAAAGTGGCTGTCCTTCCTCCCCTCCTCCTCCTCTTCTTCCTCCCTCTCTCTTTTTCCCTTCCTCCTTCTCTTCCTCCCTCTCCCTCACATGCACACACCCATACACACACGCATGTACATACTCACCATAAATAAATGTAATAAAACAATTTTAAATCAAGATTAGTACATACATTATAACACAAAAAAAATACTGAAAATTAGAGTCTCTCAGACATCTGAACATCTTACATAAATTTTATATTCAATAGTCAATTAAAAGATTTTTTTTTTAATTTAGCCTGCACGTGCGTGTAGGCAAAGCATGTCATATGCCTGGAGTTCAGGGGACACTTAACGCCTGGTTCATTCCTTCTACTGAGCCACCCTCAGTGTCTTATTTTTATTTGTTGACAAAGTCTCATGTATCCCAGATTGGCCTTGATTTCTCTACGTAGTAAAAATGGACTTGAATTCCTGGTCCTCCTGTCCTCACCTGCCAAGTGCTAGAATATAGGTTTGCACCACCATGTAAGACCAGACTGGTCTACATGAGATCTTTACTCAAAAAACAAAACCAAAAACAGGACCAGGCATCTGGCTGCAAACACACTGAATCTCAAGAGGTATAGGCAAGTGTGTGCCTGTAAGTTCAATACCAGCATGGTCTACATATCAAGTTTCAATTCTGCCAAGGATTCCGTAAGACCACGTCACAAAGGTGGAAGGAGATAATTAACTGCCAACAAAGTTATCCTCTGCAGCTATAGCACACTCATATAAATAAATCTTAAAAAAAAAAAAAAAAAAAGCTGTCCTCTGACTTCCACACATGCATGTCTACACACAAGCACATACCCACTGTGGTAGTTAAATGAAAATGGCTCCACAGGTTGGAGTGGGTGTGGGTGTGGTCTTGTTGGAGGTGTGGGTGTGGTCTTGTTGGAGGTGTGGGTGTGGGTGTGGTCTTGTTGGAGGTGGTGTCTTGCTGGGGGTGGGCTCTGGGGCTCAGAAGCTCAAGCCAGTTCTCTTCCTGCCGCCTTCGGATCAGGATACAGAACGCTCAGCTCCTTCTTCATCACCATGTCTGTCTGCACCCCACCATGTTTCCCTCATGATGATAAAGGACTAAACCTCTGAACTGTAAGCCAGACTCCATTAAAGGTTTTTCTTTATAACAGTTGCAGTGACCATGGTTTCTCTTCGCAGCAATAAAGTTGTAACTAAGACACTCATCACAAAATAAAAAACAAATCTTTTTTTAAAAAAGCATAAGGAGCTGGAGCGATGGCTCAGTAGTAAAGAGCACTTGCTGCTCTTGTAGAGAGGATCTAGTTCAGTTTCTAGCACCCATGTGGTAACTCGCAGCCATTCATAACTCTAGTTTCAGGGAATCCATTGCCCTCTTCTGACATCTACATGCCCCAGGCGTGCACATGCATGGTACACATACATGTATGCAAGTTAAGCGCTCATACACATAAATGTTTAAAGAAGGAAAGAAGGGAAGAAGGAAGGAAAGGAGGGAGGGAGGGACAGAAAGAGGGAGGGAGGCACAGAAAGAAGGAGGGAGGGAGGGAGGGAGGGAGGGAGGGAGGGAGGGAGGGAGAGAGAGAGGGAGGGAGGGAAGGAGGGAGGAAGGAAGGAAGGAAGGACAAAGGACGGACCAACTGCCTCTATTCTCAGCACTTGGGAGGCAGAGGCAAAAGTGACCCTAATTAAAAAGTAGCCTGGTCTACATAACAAGTTTCAGGACAGGCAAGGCTACACGGCCAGATCCTGTCTCAGACAAAGTGTAATAAAATGGCCAAGGAGGTAAAGATGTCTGCCAAAAAGCATGAGTTGTATTGGATCTCTAGGGTGGATAGAAAGGGTCAACTCAGCAACATTGGCTTCTGACTACTGTACACACACCATGGAATGTACATGCCCACACAGATACACATTCATGAAAGTTTTGAAATAAAACAAAATGAAAAAACAAACCAAAAATCAAAAGAAAAACCACTAAAAGCGGTTGCAACTAGGACTGGAACAGGAGTGGGGTAGGTGACTGCATTCTAAAGCTTGTTGATATTACTTGATCTCACACATACACATTACTTAGACGCATACTGAGCAACATAACCACCATAAACCAAAGACAGTACCTTGTTGTTTCTCCTGAGAGACAAGTCCCAAGTAGCTGAGAACAACATACTTTGTTTCATAGTGAAATCCCAGAGGCACAGTCGTCGAGGACGCCATTGAATTGGCTGAAGTTGCTCCAAGGAGGTCTACTAGGGACACTGGAAATCTAAAAACAAAAGGTTTCTTTCAGTTTAAACCTGGTTACAAACCAATCAACTTCTCCATTGATCCCAGTTACTCATCTAACTCCCAAAGTCAATGTCTCAACACTTTCCTTCCAGTAGTCTTTACAACTAATGGTTTAATTTCCATATAAACAGTAACTTAATTGTTCAAATCAAGAGTAAATTTTCCGGTTTTGGTTTTTTATTCTTTCCTACTTTTGTACTGTCTTGGGGGGGGGGGGACCTGCCATGGTGTTCATGTGGAATAAGTTCTCTTCTTCCATCCACCTTTCCATGGTTCTGGGGATCAAACTCAGGTGGCCAGGCCTGCACCTTTACCCACTAAGCCATCTCACTGGAACTTCCTAATTTTTCTATATCCACACGAGTGGCAGACACATTGGACATCCTGAACTCCATCCCCCTGTATGTTTTTTTCATTTCTTTAATAATAATCTCCTCAATATATCCATAACAGCATGGATATGTTGGACAAAGATATAATTCACTTCCCTGGCAGGACATAGCAAACTGTGAGATTTCATAGAGCTACACAGAATGCCAAGCAATTTAAAAATTACGTATTGTGGGCCTAGAAACATGGCTAAGGAGTTGAGAGCACACTGCTCTTGCAGAGGACCCAAGTTCAGTTCCCAGCACCCAAGTTAGCTCACAATCACATATAACTCAGCTCTAGAGGAATCTGATGTCTCTATGGGCATGTGCACATACATACACACACATATACACATAATTTAAAATTAAAATCTTTTTTAAATTATAAATTGCTTAGTTCAAAATCTTACACCTAATCCACAACTTGTCCTCTGACCTTCATATTCACACTGGGGCACTGCAGGACACAGATACACAACAAATTAGTAAAAATATAAGTTTTCGCCGGGCAGTGGTGGCACACGCCTTTAATCCCAGCACTTGGGAGGAAGAGGCAGGTGGATTTCTGAGTTTGAGGCCAGCCTGGTCTACAGAGTAAGTTCCAGGACAGCCAGGACTACACAGAGAAACCCTTTCTCGAAAAACAAAACAAAAAAAATATATATATATATATGTTTTCTGGGTTTTTTTTTTAAATAATTTATTTTTTCTAAAATCGTAATTCATTCACACAGGGGTTATAAACACAGAAAGGCAGGATGTGGGGAAGGGGATGACACTGGAGTGTGGGTGTTCAGGGGGAATACAGATATCTTCAGAACCGGGTATCAGCTGGGTGAAGGGTCAGGGGACAGGTCGCTATGACTCTGCCTATGACTCGCTTGTCCTTATCTAAGTTGGTACTATCCGCCAAGGCTACCTATTTACAAGGTCTATGACTACTCGGGCTGGTAAATTTCCACAAAAGCTGCCTGTTTACAATAGCTAATAGCCATCTGTTTCAGTGTTTTTCCACAGAGACCCAAGACTTGGTGTTAGTATACATGTATGACAGGCCTATTGCTGCTTTTAGGCCTATGGCTGATTTTAGGCCTTCAGTGTGTAAGCAGGGCTGCCCCTGACATCTCCTCCCTTCTCTAAGTATAGAAGGGCTGTGGCAATTCTAAACTATCGAAGGCGGGGATAAAGGCCTGACCTCCAGTAATTGAAGGGGACCTTGTAATGGCTCTGGTCCCCCTGTCGTTGTCCAGTGAGGTATGAGGGCCATACCCATCCCGATGTCTTTTTCCTGGAGAGGGGATACTTTTGACAGTTTTCTGATGTCTATTATGTATTGGCCAGCAGGAACACTGTTATTTGACATTTACCTTTTTATTATTTTACTTTCTTGTTGTCTGGTATCCATAAATCCAATCTCCTTTTTATGGAGGTGTTTAGAGGGAACAGTAGCAATGAGCCAGTGGCAGCATCCTACCCATTCCACTCCAGTAGCCTGACCCTAGCTGAATCTAACCACTTCTCCTTGGCTCCTGTGTGTCTCCCCAGCTAGCTTTCTAGGTGCTCTGCCTCATTTTTTGTTGTTTTTTGTTTTGTTTTGTTGTTCATTTTATTGAGACGGATATGTGGCCTTGGCTGTCCTGGAACTCACTCTGTAGACCAGGTTGGCCTAAAACTCTCAGAGATCTGCATTTAGGGGGTTAAAGGCATGCACCACCACCTAGCTACCTAACTCACTCTTTCAGAAACTCAGCACTCTTTCCCTGAGTAACTTTTCTATCTGTAAGAGCTCTAATCAGTTTTACCCTTTGAATATAGGATCCTACTGGAACCTAATTTAACTTTCTATAGAAATTCTCTATCAATTAAAAATGTTTAGACTTATTTTATGTATGAGTGCTTTGCCTCATCTATATATGTGTAACACATATGTGCCTGGTATCTCAGAGGTCAGAAGAGGGTGTCAGAACCCTGAAACTGGAGTGATGGATAGACGGGCACTACCATGCAGGTGCTGGGAACTGAACCCGCATCGCCTACCAAAGCAACAAGTACTCTTAACCACTGAGCCAACTTTCCAGCTCTCAACATTAAGCTTTAAAAACGCGTATGTTTACAGATGGAGGTAGGGGATAACTTGAGAGTTATCCTGAGCCACCTAGAAGGCCAACTTCCCATCAATTATACTATATTATATAAGGATTACTATACTAAATTTATACTTTACAAGTCTCGAATTGTACAAATTCACATACAAATCTAGAAGTATAATTACATTATTGAAATAGAAGGCAAAAGTCTTCTCCCTTTCTGGGTCTAAGTACTGAAGATGGAACTAGGGCCTTGCCCATACACAAGTGCTTGACCACTGTAAGGCCTTTTCCTTTTTAAAGGTTTCATTGCTTCCTATTATTTTTTGAGTGTTTTGTCTGTAATATGTATGTGTACCACAAGTTGTCTTTTGACCTCCACATGTGTATCATGGCACACACGCCTGCTCCCCCTCCACACAAAAAATACATTTAGGGAGGAAATAAAACTTCTTTGAAAAGCACTGGGAGTGATCTCTGCATTAAAGGGGCAGAGGCAGGAGGATCAAAGCCAAACAAAACCAGAGAAGAAAACTGAGACAATCCAGGGAAACCTCTCAGTCTAGCCTGGAGCAGTCAGAAGAGTAGAAAGAAAACCACAAGCTAAGTGTGGCCACTACAGCCAAGACGGTGCATTAGGCATCAAGAACACAGACTCCTCTGACTGGGGTGTACGGGCAGCTCTTCTTCACTCCAGAGTCAGATTCTACTCTATCAGCCTTCATCTGGTTTACGGGAACTGTGAGTGTGGCCTAGGGTGAGGCTACCACTGAAAGGACCCTCAGAACGTTCTTATCGCTTCGCTGTGGAGTCCTTCAAACAGTTCTAGGGTTGGAACAGCTAAGGTCTACAATTTGGGAAAGACTTCTTGCGATAAGACTCTGAAAAGTTCTGAAAAATGCAAGGCCAGAGGTCTTTTTTCTCCAGTATTCCTAACAACAGTGACAAAGATTGCTTAGTCAAACTTTGGCCAGGCTTCTAGAACACCTTCTTCTAGAGGTCCATCTGCACATTTGCCTTCAGAATCTAGAATCTTAGGGGCTGTGGGGAAGGCTCAGTGGTCAAGAGCATTTCTGTTCTTGCAGAGGACCTGGATTCAGTTCCCAGTATCCACATAGCAGCACCCACACAACAGTAATTCCAGTTCCAGGAGAACCAACACACAGTACATGTACATATATGCAGGCAAACATCCACACATATAAAATTTGTAAAAATAAAAATCAATTTTAGTAAAATAACTATTAACTATAAACTCTATTGAGTTTAGCCAAAATAATATTTTTCAGGGATGAGGGGACATAGCTAAGACAGGGTCTCTATATCCCTGGCTGGCTTGGAACTCGCTATGCAAACCAGGCTGGCCTCAAACACAGAGATCTACCTGTCTCTGCTGGAGGTACAAGCCTGTAACCCCAGCACTGGATAGGCAGAGATGGATTACCAGGGCTTGCTGGCTGATCAGTGAGCTCTAGTTCATTGAGACCCTATCTAAAATAAGGAAAAAAGACACCCACATCAACCTCTGACCTCCACATGCACACACACGTGCTACCCCACTGCCCTCAACACACCCCACCTCCACAAAGAAAAAGAGAGGAAATGATAAACTGGATGAAAGGTCCTCCACACCAGCTGCAGAGATGCTCGTCAGCTGAGAGTGCTCAGCGCTCTTGCAGAGGCCCTGGCTCCCAACGCCCACATCAGGTGACTCTAAACTGTCTGCAATTCCAGTTCTATGGGATCTGATGCCCTCTGGCCTCCATGGGTACCTGCACGTGGTACACATAAACTCAAGAGATATATAATACTATATATATACACACACACACACATATATATAAGAACAAATCTTTTTTAAAAAATGGAAAGGTACTGTATACCTCTAGCTCTCAAGTTTTCTTTTATTGATTGATTTCTTTTATTGATCAATTGGTTTCTTGTAGCATCAGCTGGCCCAAAATCCATATCTAGATCAGGCTGCCTTCAAACTCACAGAAATCTGCCTGGCTCTACTTCCAAAGTGCTGTGTTTAAAGATGTGTACCACTATACCCAATTTTACTTATTTAAAAAAAAAAAAAAAAAAAAAAACAAAAGCAGAAAAAAGACTTGTTTTACAGGAGCTGGAAAGATAGCTCAGTGGTTAAGAGCACTCCCTACTCTTCCATAGCACCCATCTGGCAGAACACAACTGCTGTAACTCCAGCTGTGGAGGACTTAAATGCCCTCTTCTGGCCTCCAGACACCCACACATTGTGGCAGACACAAATATATACATAAATAAATATGAGTGTTTTGCCTCCATGTATGTCTTTGTACCACATGCATGCCTTGTGCCTGCAAAGATCAGAAGGCACAGCTCTCCTGGAGCTAGAGGTAACTATGTGGGGGACAGAGAACTGAACTCCAGTCCTCTGAATGCGCAGTAAACACTCTAAATGCTGAGCCACCTTATCACCCCTCAAGTTCTCATTTTAAATGATGAAAGGGACACAACTACTTTCAGTCTTTATACTG